CCCCATTCCTTCCACACCTGCCATAAAAGCCACAGCAGTACCTTGGCTCATGAGCATGTGGGAAAATTAGGCATGACTGGAAAAATTAGGCCTAAGTTTGAGAATGATGAACATTTAGTAAAAATGTCCCTGCCTCTGCATAGACGGATTTCCTACGATTTCATGCCTAAAGCCAACACAATACAGCAAGGTATCTCTTTAACCAACCCTAATAGTCTCTTCAGAGGTAGCACTGCCCCTTAAGTGTCACTGTTTGTATATATTCAAGACAAAAATACATTAAAACACTGATGGCCAAAAAGCTTCTTAAAGAACCAACATGAATACAAGCAAAAGTGACCAAAGATGCTTTTTCATGCCCATATAATAGCAGCATTATTTCCAATGGACCTTAGCTCTCTTTTGCTTAAGAAAATTAGTACATTACCTTTCAGGAAGCGGGACACATCTTCTAGCTGGGGGATATTGTCTTCCCTGTACCCACAGTATTTGGTGAGCAAGGGTAAGTTTTTAAGGTACTCTCTGCAGGCATGAGTTGGGTAAAGCTTGTTAAGCTCTCGGTACACAGTCCCCCAAGTCTTGATCTCCTCCTCAGTGAATTCAATCTTGGGAATTGGGTCACCACTGCAAGGAGAAGAGGAAGAAAGGACATTCCTTGCCAAATGGCTAATAACAAATTACTCATTTATTTAACATTCATATGGCTGTGACACCTGGTCAGGGCTAAGATCCCATTGCATTAGGCACTGTCAAATACACAGTGAGATCTGGTCTCTGGAGAGCCTTTAGTCAAAGGACTTGCTCTCTTTTCCACCTAAATCAACTAACAGGAACCTTTGCATTGACCTCACTGGAGCCTGAAAACTCAAGTTTCATAGGTGTTTAATGCTGAGAGCAACCTTTAAAATAACCTGCGAAACCTTTACAGCTTCAGGAGCTGAGAACACATCCTTTTCTCTGTAGAATTTCCCTGTCTACAATTACTTTCCATTATCTTTTTGATTTGTTTCAGAAAAAGAGAATTTCCTAAATTAATAACACAATGTGTGGAAGCAGCTAAATACACACATTAGGTAAAAACCATGCTTCTATGCAGAGGAGACAAACGTCTGTCTGAACATATTAACTGTAGTCTATCTCTCCTATTTAGTCCTCAGGATCTTGATTAAAGTGGATTATAGCAAGGGCATGACCTAAAGCCCACTGAAAGCAATGGAAGTGTTACACTGCATTTCCACTGCCAGCCAGGTAACCAGCGCTGCAGATGCTTTCCCAAGGGAATCTCTTTTAACAACATATTAACAGTAACCAGCTCTGTGCTGTGGTGACCAGTTGCGTTAATACACAGTGCCATAGAGCTCTAGATAGCCACCATTTCTAGGTTACTTCCAATTGAGGAACTTGGCATCTCAATTCAAGCAGACACCAGCAACATGAAAATAATGTTTTAAAAGAATTTACAGCACTGGACTATGAAATTCTTACTGCTTTAAGAGCTCCCTCCCCCAAGCTTCATCTCTAAAGACAGAAGCTCTTCAAGTTTCTTTTCAGAGAAAACTTCTTATCTGCACATCACATACACTAGTTTGGACCAGGAAAGAAAACTCAAGTATTAACATTTTCCCAGAAAGTTTACAGTCAGTGGCCAATGGCCTATATATTGGGTTTTGCCTCCCCTCCCTCTCCTTGGCAAAGGCGACCAATGTGCCCTAGTCAGGTCAGTCCAATCTGGCACAAACAGCTGTGCAGCAGGCATTGTCCACCCTCTTCCTTTGTTGCACCCATTTCCAGAGACATGGGGAGGAACTGCGGAGCACAAATGCACCACACTGCAGGAAGCCCACGCTGGCATCGCTGCCCATCTGAGGGTCAGCGCTGCCGCAGGTGCCATAATAGCCAAGCAACCACGAGCTGATCCGCAGACTGATCAGCAACCTGGGGAGCTGTAAGATGTCCACCTTTTAATCTTCTCTTACATCTCCCTTTGTTTTACCCCTCCAGCTCTGACTCCTGAGCCAAGCACATCTCAGCGAGGTCTGAGCCCGGGAACGTGAGCTCCTGCCAGTCCACCCTGCTGTTATTTCAAAGCACCCAGAGGGCCTATTCTGGAAGTGAAGCTTACTGTTTGTAGTTCATAGCCAGGTCTGCAAAATACTTTCGCCTCCTGCGATAGACATTGTCTTTGAAACCCTGGGGGAGGGGGAAGGGGAAAAACAAAGTTAAATGAGTTTCCAAACTGAGTAAATAAATTAATTTAAAACAAGAATCTTGAAGTCTCTTCAGATGGGAAATAGAAAAGTATGCTGTGTAAGAATGAGAGGACAGGGCAGGAACATCGCAGCTGTAGTCTGAAATGTTTAATAACTGTGAACTAAGCAAACATTCCAAAGTAAGGATCAGCTCTTTTATGCATGCAACTATACATACAGTAGACAAGGATTCATTTTAGTGATATCAGTATTTATACAAACTTTGTTACTTGCTTTGTTCTAAATTACAGTACAGATTGACCATTCACACTGCCTCAGTACCAATTTGTTTGCTTCATTTACAGTAAGGAAGAAAGAGGAGGAACCAAACCTGCCTCACAACAGCTTTATTTTTTTTCTTCTTTTAAATTTGTATGCGACCACTCAGGGCCCAGACCTGGAGTCCTTGACAGAGTAAGCCCAGCAGAAAGGCTTGGGAGCTGAATTCAGTCACAGCTTTTCCTGAACTAGGAAAAAGACATGAAACTCCCAGGAGAAGGTGCTTGGACCCAGTGAGGCACCATTGAGGGGAAGGAGAGGAAGGAGGAAAAGCTGCAACTTTTTTAAAGTAAGCTCCACAAAGTACTTTTTTCACTAAGCACTGAGCATAGAGGGGAAAAGGTACTTACAGGATGGTCAGCATCCAAATCAGACCCATACATCAGCACTCGGTTTGCGCACTTATCCAAATCTGAGATCTTCTTCGGAAACCAGGGAACATTCTCCATGTCTAGGGAACACATGGAATCCACAAAGTTATTAATAATGCTGAGCATGCTGAGGGAGGAAATGCTACTTTCAAGTATGGCTATGGTGGTTACAAGCGAAACCTATAAATTAAAAGGGTCATGAATAAGACAAGCGAGTCCACTGCCTATCTGGCACCAGCCTACAGCTCACACTTCCTCCTCGGTCACTGCCACAGTCTGCTGCAGAGCACAGCTAGCTCCGAAGTGTGCAGGGGAGGAAACAGTTAACAAGGGCTTTCTGTGGCCCTTAGCTATTACTACTGGTAATGTTAGAGTAGTATCTAGAGGCTCCCACTGAGACAAGACCTCCTTGTGCAAACTGCTGAGAATCTTCTAGGGTATGAAGTGTGCAGAAGAGCAGAGGAGTCACTTGCCTGTGGTCCCTGGGCAGAGTGGGAGCAGGCTTGAGTCCTCCCACCCTGCTTTACTGACCACGGAAAATAAACGTTGCTCTGTGGTTGTGTACCTCAGAAGCATTCAGCTTTGCCAAGGGGTATGTGGAGGAAGAGGAAGAAAGGGAAGCAATTTCAGCCCTGCAGCCTTAGAGAGATTCTAGTTTTGCTACTAACTTTATTTATTTTTTTTTTTACCCAAGAGACTTTATAACCAAGGTCTCTGCAGAGCAGTGAATACAGTTTTTCTGACCCAATACTCTTCAGTTTTTTTAAAAAGGACAGGGGGAGTGTTTACATTGAAATTGCCCTTGCTTAGGGCTAAAGTAAGCTGTTTTTATCCAAGACACCAGATCTCACCTTCCTCTGCCTACCACCCCGTGCCAAGCACATGGGACCAATCTCCTGCTGCCCTGAGCTTTAGGTTTCTCTTTAACTAGGAGCAAAGGTAAACAGGATGTGAAGCATCCTAATTATAAGGCACTTCTTTCACACTAACATAAGTAACCAGTTATGACAAAAAGTGGTAAAAAAAATTAATTCAAAAGCTACACAAGGAAATTGCAGAATCCACCTCCCACCCTTACCAGCGTCTGAACTGAACTGCGATCTGTCAGTGTTATCTGCCATTATGGTGTACAGTCCCAGCCAAGCCCTGCATTCAGACTTTGCCTACACGCTGGCCTGCATTGTCCTGTGCGGGTGCAGGGACTCCCATTTGTGCCAGTGGTGCTGTGCAGAGAAGGGACAGCAGCACAGATGACAGATATGGAATTTGCAGCAGCCTGACACAGCCTGTACTCCCAGGTGACACCAGCCACTGCAGCCCTGCTCATATCAACCAAACCAACCTCATTCACAGCACAGACGCATAAACCTGGCAGCTCCTGACTGAAAACACTACACGAACGCAGAGGTGGACACCATTAAAATATTTCAAACCAGCACACTGAGAAGTGCATTGTCGTCAGAACTGCCCTATGTACTCACCATCTCCCAGGGCATTGAAATGCTCTGTCGGGTTCATGGAGACAAAATTGACGTGGGATTTCAGGAGCTGGAAAATCTCATTCAGTTGTTCCCTGTTACTGTCACAGTCCACAAAGATCTCAAACTCAGAATTTCGTCTCTTGGACTTCCGTGACTCAATGTGTACCAGATTTACATGTTTCTCCTGTTTTGTAAGAAATAATGTTTCCAAACAGATTGACTAAAAACTAAAATTAGTTTTTCAATTTAATATTCACCACCTTTGTAAAGCTATTTTAGTTAATTGGATCTGATAGCAGTTTGCTTGTTGGAGGGGGGAATGGTTTGATTTTAAAAAGCCTCCCGTTCAGAAGAAAATTTAAAAGAACCTGTATTCTTTCAATTTCATATACATTCAAGAGACACAGTCAGGAGGTTTAGATTTATAGACCTTTTTCTTTCATCCCTCCCAGAGGAAGTTGATCAGCAACTGGGTCTGGTGAAATTCACCAAAATGCCAATCAAGCCACCATACAATTATCTCGCAAGCAAGCAAGGGATTTAAAAGCAGCAGTTTTCAGGGCATAAATGTCACTTGTCCTTTATTTGAAAAAATATTTAATCATATGTCTTATATCAGGAACACAGAGAAAACCCCAGGCTAAGGCATGTAGGGCCAGAGGACAGAGCACAGTGGCACTGCACATATTCCTTGAGCAGCGCCTGCCCAGCAATCAAAGGACTGCATTTGCCGTTCCTCTCCATCACCCCCAGGCCAGCCAGGCAGAGTGACAAGGGCACTGAACTCACCCCAGTATGGGTCAGCACCCCAAGGTGCCACTGGCAGGACATTCAGACCCACACCTCTCATATGTGGTAGAAACAATGAGAACAAATCCTCTTTTCATGAGGGGAAAAGGCAAAACTCTCTCAATGTAGAAATCACATCTTATAAATGGATGTAATTAATTCTAGTAGTGTTCCTTGCAATTTAAAAATACAGAGCTACTGTAGCAATGTGATTATTACATACCTGAAAGAGTTTTAATGCTTTTACAAGTCCTCCGATTTCATTCTTCAAGGAAAAAATTATGGCTGTTCTTCCTCTTTCAGATGCATGGTCTTCATTTTCTTTATTATCTTCAATCATCATGTAACTTGACTTACTTAACTAAATGCAAGTAAACAAAAATATGTTTTTTCCAATGGCTAGTAGTGCAAAAAGTGTCAGGTTTTAAACTTCAGTTTATCTTGGTGCAATATTGAGCTTTGACCGATCAACTACAAAAGAAAAGGTGCCAACTAAATCCTTACACAATAACAGGCATGAAGTTAGGCACATACAGAATCTCAGAGCTGAGGATGAAATATCAAGATTTTTTTTTCATTTGAATTATTTAATAGGCATCTTTAGTCATTCTCTAGGTTGCAGAAAATGTTTTCAAAGTATAGTTTACAATTAGCATTGTTTGGGGGTTTTTTGAGGGAAAAGGAGCTGTAAGATGTCAGTAGTAATAGTAATGAGTTGAACAAAATACCTGTTAACAAATTTGATGCACATTGGTAAAAGGAATAATCCAAAACCCGCTGGATATATGTAGGAAAAGATGGACCGAGATTTAGTAGATCAGAAATGAAAAATCATTGCCTTTCTCTTGCCACAGAAGTGAAAAGCACTGCTTTTACAGAGAAAGGAGACAAAACCTGAGGATTTAAAACACTCTGCTGGCCAGAATCTGTTGACTCGAGACAGTCCCACTAGGGGGGACTGATCAACCACAACCAAGCTATTCTGTATCTTGTGTCCCCTGATTCCCATGTCAAACCCAAATCGCACACTAATAGTTTTCAGAAAACCAACACTGTAGGACCACGTGGTTTTGTACAGTGCTAGTGGTCACACTCCTGACTGTGTTGAAAACAATGGATACCACAGACCATATTCTTAGCCACACGTATCCAGGCCATAAACAGAGATAATATAGAAACAGTTAAGAATGCAGAAAACACGAAGTAAAGAAAAAGTAGAAGGCTTAGAAACAGAGGCTCTCGTATGTCTTCAAACCTAGCAAAAAGAAACAAAAACCATGAGGTTTCTGAAGAAGCCAGTGAGAAAGAGGAGAGGAACAATGAAGGCACATTATTGTTTGAAATTATTTTTTTATTTGATAGAGTTTTTAAAGATATGACTGTGATCTGGTGAAAATTTATCAGGAATGAAAAGAGCAAAAATAAAAGTGCAATCAAAATGTAGCAGTTTCACTGATTCCCTTCTACTCCTTCTCCAGCTTTAACCTCCTTAAAATGGATAATGCTGTAAAACTAAGTATTTCTATATAAAATGGCAAGTTTAAAGATAAAACCCAGATTTTACCTATCTTTTATCAAACCGTTCCCATTTATCTTTCAGATTAAGAAATTAATCTAACAAAATAATTAAATCAGCTAATTTTAAATTGAGTGTCTTACAACAAGGCTGGTATTTGATGCTGCTCTAAGAAAGGTTTCAAGCAGGTTACTAGCTGCGAGCTCTTCACAGTGCCGAGGTGGTATCCCATGGAAGAGGTCTTGCTCCAAGCTCACTGATGCTTATAGAAATGTAATCACTGGATTTCTGACTTAGTCCCCCTCTCTAATGAGTTGTCACTATATGATGAACCCGGATGACAGTGTCAGTCCATCACGATGTTTCTGATCCAGCTGATCTCTGTCAACTTGAGTCCAGACACCAAATTCTCTGCTGAAAGTGGGCCAAATCCAGGTTCTGCTGAGCAGTCTGCAGCTTTCACAGCTCACTTCAGCAAACATCAGGTCAAGATCACAAGAGCCAGGAACAGGCACTGAGCAAGGGTACTCCAAGCAGAGAACAAAAAACTAATAACGCCGCAATTACATATACATCATTAGTTGGTTTCTCCAGTGCAGAGCTAGCCATTTGCACTATCTCTGTGTAGTTTTGGTTGAGAGAGAGTTAATTTTCTTCATAGTACCCAGCATAAGGCTATATTTTGGATTTGTGCTGAGAATAATGTTGACAACACACTGATGTTTTAGTTTTTGCTAGGCAGTGTATAATACTAAGTCACGGACTTTTAAGCTTCTCACACTGCCCTGCCATCGGAGGCTGGGAGTGCACAAGAAGCTGGGATGGGACACAGGAAGCACAGCTGACCCAAAAGAGCCGAAGAGATATCATAGACTCATAGAATGGTTTGGGTTGGAAGGGACTTTAAAGATATCCAGTCCACCCCCTGCCATGGGCAGGGACACCTCCCACCAGACCAGGTTGCCCAAAGCCCCATCCAACCTGGCCTTGAACACTGCCAGGGAGGGGGCATCCACAGCTTCCCTGGGCAACCTGTGCCAGTGTCTCACCACCCTCACAGTAAAGAATTTCTTCCTAAAATCCAGTCTAAATCTACCCTCTTCCACCTTTAAACCATTCCCCCTCATCCTATCACTACCTGCCCTTGTAAAAAGTCCCTCCCCAGCTTTCCTGTAGGACCCCTTCAGGTTCTGGAAGGCTGCAATAAGGTCTCCAAGGAGCCTTCTCTTCTCTAGGCTGAAGAGCCCCAACTCTCTCAGCCAGTCCTCACAGGGGAGGTGCTCCAGCCCTCTGATCATCTTTGTGACCCTCCTCTGGACCCGTTCCAGCAGCTCGATGTCCTTATGTTGGGGGCCCCAGAACTGGATGTAGTACTCCAGGTGGGGTCTCACAAGAGCAAAGTATGTCACCTTCCATATAACATCATGCTCAGTATATAGACTGGGGGGAAGGCTGGCCAGGGGACACGGCTGGGAAACTCTCTGGGCATCAGTTGGCAAGTGGTGAACAATTGCATTGTGCATCACTTCTTTTGTGTATTATAATTGTTTTATTATTAGTATTATTGTTGTTATTTTCTTCCTTTTCTGTTCTACTAAACCGTCCTTATCTTAATCCATTAGTTTTACTTTTTTCCGATTCGCTCCCCCTTCCCGTTGCGGGGGGTGGGAGTGAGCCAGTGACTGTGTGGTGTTCAGCCGCCTGCTGCGTTAAACCACAAGAGTGAGCCAAATCCTATGCAGATGGCACTGCTGTAGAAGAAGCTGGATGCAAAGAAGTCTCCATTACAAATAGGGTTAGATGGTGGTCTTTGAAGACAAAAACTGTCGGGCTGTTTTAAATACATGGCTAATACACAGCACGTTGGCTTGGTTCCACACTCAAGATCATTGACTTAAGACAAGATCAGCTTATGAGATTTGGCATAGTTGCATGCCAGTATTACAAGGTGCACAGCTCGGACAAACTACATGCATTGATGACTAATGTTCTTATTTGCTAGTTCAACTGGCCTTGTGTTTAGCATTAGGTTACTAGCATAACTTCATAAGTTTAAGAGACCAACACAGAAAATACAACAAAATGCAGTGTGTTCTCACATTAAGTTCTAAAAATTACCTCTAACTTATGAATTTGAAAAAAAAAAGTTGCAGAAGAGAAATTCAGACGCCTACAATGCCAGATGCACACCACTTACACCATAAACCCTAAGCCAACATTAATTTCTGGCTTTCAATTAAAAATGGTCTGAAAACAGGTCTGCATTACTGCAGCAACCATTTTGGTGCAAGATAAGAGAAAATGGTAATGAAAAAAATAATTCATCTCCTCCAACAGCTGCACCTTCATTTTCATTGTATTCTGTATCAGTAACTCAGCTCTAATCAACTCTGACACTTTTCCTTTGGACAGTAACACATTTGAGCTTTTTGGAAGGAGGGAATTAATATTGCATTGATGCTTATTATTAATGATGCAAATAATGAACTGATTTCCCAACAAAATGACTCAAGTCTTGATGAAAATACACAAACACAGGGATACTCTAAAGCCCTTATTTAGATAGATATCTAGGTATCTTCTGGTTAAAGATGGCTCCTTTTGGAGCCCATAGCAATTACTTTCACTTTCTCTCCCTTCCCAAAGAATGCTGTCTGTGACATAGATATTCGAGGGTGAATATTTGGTCCTTTAATGCTTTATATTAATGGACAGCCAAGATTTAAAATTATCCAAACATATTGATCTAAAGGAAATTACATTTTGGAGCCATAAACTGAAGACCAACAAAAATTTTAAAAAAATCTGTTTGATACACATCAACATTAATTATACTTGATAAAAGTCTCAACAGGCACTTTGCATCCTCCTCCCTCTTTAAGTAGCTGCTTACTTTCTCGCTGTCCTTTCAACACACTTCTTAGTATGGAAGGATGAAGACTTGATCTTATGAGTGACCACAACTAGATGTCCCATTCCAGGGGAATTTTTCAGCCACACCAAAGCTCTTCCTTAGATTTAGTTCTCAGACACCAAACTGAAAGCTGGGCTGAAGTTTATTTGGCTTTCAAAGATCTGAGGGATGCAGTAAAATACTCTTCAGTGAAACTTTACTCCATTACGGTCAGCATTCTTGTTTTTGCAAGGAATTTTACTAGCATTTTAAACTGTACAGTATCAATAACTGTGGCAAACACACAACGCTGATTTTATCTCATCTTCTCTGATGATACACTAAGTGTATTCCAGCTGTAACTTTAAACAATCCAGGAGTAGATTTTTCTGGGCTATCTCACACCCTCTGTCTTCTGAGCAATGATGCACCAGAAGTTACTTCTGTTCTACCTTAATTTCATCTGCTCGCATTAGAATTTGAACACTTGTCCCCACTTCTGTCTGAAACAGCAGCACACGTCAGTCCCATCTCAATCTCAGCGGCACTGAGCGCTCCCAGAGGAGCGTCTCAGGACAATTACCGCTCTCCAGGTAACGGGGGCGAGAAAGCCCCTCTTTTTCCCCCAAACAACGGCTCTGAGAACCCCAACAGCGAGGCGGCAAAGCTGTAACTTCAGAGAAGCAATAT